TCATGGTACCAATTATGTACAACTTTCAATTGCTTTGAGTAAAAAAGCTCTTCAACCTACTTCTAGATTCATTTTCCTTTCGACGTTTTTCTCTTGATCAGCATATTCTAACGACGTAAAGGAGTGATCATTTGACGTGGCAAAGTGTTATTAATTGCTTAAAAACTATAAAATTTTCTTGTCGACGTAGTGCAATATTTTACAAGTTTGATAGACCGTAATAAAAATGGACTTTACACTTGTGCATACCTCTAATCGTTATGTCACGGAAACCAGAAACAAAAACGACAAGTAACTTGTACTGCAAATATGTCCATTCAATTCACACCTGGAATATAGATACATAATACCTGTTCACAAGATCAAATGATTTTTCGTAACGAAGACACTGAAACTCTACGAAATTTCTGAATAACTCAATAATGTATATAAGGTAAAAGTTCGTATATCCATAAATGAATTTTTCATATAAAATTGGAGCGAAGTTAAATTTAATTCTGTTGGCCTTAACTGTGAAATTGATACCAGAAACCATTAACGTATCGAGAACCGGGCATTATTATCCGGTACATAATATTGATCGCGAGCTCGAAGCCGGATCGAATGAGTTTGTCACCGTGAGCCTAACAACAATGGTTCCGTGTCGTGTTAACGCTTGCGCTATAACAGGCCCGCGTGTATGCCAACTACCATACTCACTGTGGCGGATTATACGCCGAATAGTACTTGAACTATCAGGCTAATCAATACCGACCGACATTGACCTCGTTCGACCGATTACCATTGTGAAACAATGCATGTAATCGGGGCAGTCATTCGGTAATCACTATATTTCGACGCTAATTGAAACGATTTAAAAATATATCTGTAGTACAACGAGGATTCTCCCTCTGAACGAAAATAATATAATCTGTGATGTTTTGATTACCTATAGTTCACGTAAATGAACCATCACCATTGATTTCAATTGGATCATTCCAAGCGAAATCGGACACTTTTTGTATCCTTATAACAAAAGGTTCCTAATTGTATCCTTATTCTTTTTTTCAAATTTTTCAATACTGCCCTGCTATTATAAAATTGCATTTCCTTAAAACAAGTGCACTCTTATGTCTCCACTGTGAGCACCTGCAAAGCTCATTTTAATCAGTTTGTTAATTCAACAGTTATGATTTATCGAAAATAGGTTCACACTATATTTCAAACAGCTGTAAAATCAACAAATTTTCAAATTTTCTAAAATCCTTCGAGATACATTTATGTATCACTGAAGACTACAACGTATCCAAGTTTCAACGAAATCCGAAATGTTGCTCCAAAAAGTGTCCGATTTCGGGTAGACCGAATGATAAAAAACTCGAATATTTTGTCATGATACAAAGAAGTTTAAAAGATTCTACGGATTCTGAGATCACAGCAGAGACAAAAAGTTAGGCATCGATCAAAAAAAGCTCTGGCGCTGAAATTTGAAAAAATTCATAAAAAAAAAAAAAATGGAGTCCACTTTGACTACTGTGGACAGCTCACATTTCATGTAAATGTTTCCGAATTGTGGTTGACCTATCACACACCCCCCACCCCCACCACTGTCATCGCACTCCGGACCCCATCGTTTTCTTATATTTCACGCATCATGGTGGAGCAGATATAGATACGACGGTATAAATGCACATACGTACGGAAAGCTAACCAAGCAGACTTTCCATTAGCGTCTATGGACGGACGTCCCGACCGCTAAATATAACTGCTGTTTGCCGTGGCTATTTCCTACTCGAGATAAACGAGAGCCAAGGGAGCAGAAACTCGTCTCCATTCTGCCGCAATAAGTTCGAAAAAGACTAGCCGAACGAATTTTTACGCGTTTTATCGCGGCACGGGATCGAGGGGAACAGGCCAGCCGACTCAGGTGAGACGAGAACCGATTGCACACGTTGGAAGGTCGTGCACACGTTCGAAGGAAGTTTCATAACACGGACAAGCGTGGGACATCGTCTAAATCTGTGGATTTACTATTGCATTGTCAAAAGGGCATGTAACGGAACCGTCAAAACTTCATTATATTCGAATAAATTGTTACTCCTTGCAAATGTTTCAGTTTATCATTCTTCCTCGAGTTGATAAGCAAACGATATATTGTACTGGTGATTAACTTGAAAAATACAATAAAATAAAGGTTTTTAATCAAATTTAATACTATTTATGTATTATTATTAATGTAGTAAAGCTTCTAGTTTAGAAGTGAAAATTCCGCTCCATTGAAATTTTTAGATATTGGTATAAAAAATTGTAAATTTATGTAATTTTCCACGGTTTAATAATTACTTATTCGAATAACAATATATAAATTATGTTTTTCCAATAAAGGTAACTACCCTTTGGCTCTAGATAAACGTTAGAATTTGTTGCTCCAAATTTAAAATCGACTGTTACGTTCGTAATACAATTGAGAAACGTGAACATCCGTCCCACTCAGGTATCAACAGAAACGAAGGAGCCGATAAAGCAGCGAAGACAGCAGCCAACTCAACTGATAACAATATAACCATTTTCCCAAACGTCATACATAACGATATAAAAAAGCATATAAAATATACGCACAAGAAGCAGGTACTGCGAACATTAACTGAACAGTATTTCCAAAAATACCCAACATTAGGAAATTATATCAAATGGCAAAAATTTCCTTACAATACAAACCGCAATATACAAGCAACAATTAGTGGAATTAAGATAGGTCATACCTAATGAAACTCACCCATTTTATAAACTCAACTAAATTATATCAAAAAATTTAAGCCACCAAACAGAATGCCAATGAAATAGTAACATACGAGTCACTGTACAGTGTTGCTAATGACCTTTGATATCGAAGCATCGTAAAAAACTTATATAAAAAAAAAACGTGAACATATAAACAATACGTGACTAACATACAATGCTCAATGTGTTAATCAGACTTCCAAAAGAGTGGACAAGTATTTTTACGAGCCGAACAGACGCGTCGCACAAAGGTTTGGAATGACTCATTTTTTTTTTTGTTCTTTTGCTATATCATTAAGATTACGTTTTTTTTGTCGATAAATAGTTATCAGTTTCGCGTGTCAAAATGTTAATAGGTTTTGAGTTCCTTCGACATCTTATACGAATAAATTATGTAGATAGATCCCTACGGTCGGCCAATGACCTCTCTCGCAAGGCCGGACATGTTTTTCTGATCTGGTATCCCGATATTTATCTTCCTTTCACTTAGAATTTGCTGTTTTTTTGTTTGAATTGTTGTATACCGTACTAAAGACGCTATTCAAACACAAGGAGTGTCCAATAGGGTTAACTATAGGTTATGGTGGCTTAAACAAACTAAAAAAAATGGTATCGAAACATAAATTAGGAAAACTTAAGAAACTATTCGAATAGAAAACGGAGAAATGTAAAATGCACAGTTCTGAAGATATTTTGGCATCTAACACCGACGTGTTTTTACACATCCTATATATCTAACAGAAGTGAGATTTCATAATATTGTCAGATATACACTGTGTCCGGGATAAATCATAACTTGTTTGACCGCAAAACTTATAACCAAAGTGTAAAAATGATTTAACATAAGCAAAAGATAATTACTAATTATATTTTGATTTTACTTTTCGTTTGACATTCATAAAGATGTCAGAATTATACGAACATTTTTATCGTAGAAAGTTTAAGTTTTTGGCGTTAGGGGGGTACTCCTTTAAAAGTTTAACCCTGACGGCCGAGCATGAAAGCGAAAAAAACGTTTCGACATGGTGATTTATTTTCGGAGCGAGGGATAACGAAAACTCCCAACTTTCAACACGTGGATTTTGGTCACCCGGTGTTGAGTCACCCTGGGAATCCCAGTTTATCGAATCTACGAGTCACCTGATCAACCACTAACAAGATGAATTTTTTTGGAGTCACCGGGTGCATTAGACTGCTGCGTAGGTGACGGTTATTAATAAAACCAGGTGTTCTGTTCAATAACGATGTTTGTTGCGTATTAAGATATGTTAAGATGCAATTCTATGTTTATGAAGAATGAAGATTGTAAACTATCTTGCCTGAACGCATCGGGACGTTTCTACGTTGAGATAAACTATGTTGACAAATTCACCTACATTCTATCTCAAAATTTCACGTAGTATGCTAAATAGAAGGTTACAGATAATGTATACTTGCACGGAATTTAAGTTTCATGCTTTTAGTGACAGGTTAAGAAATGAAAAAAATTTTAAGCTATTCTTAATCGAAAGATGAAAATTTTTACTGAATATTTCGTAACCTTTCAGTATTAATTACTATTTCTTATGACCAACACTACGATATCCATAGAAACACGAATAAAACATTTCAGAAATGAAATTCGCAAACATCGAAAAAATAAAAATTTATCGAATGACATACTAATATCGAAGGATGTAGCATACTCAAATACTAACCTCCCGGATACAAGTATTTCTTTTTTTACGCTGAGATTTCGATTAAATACGTCCACGTAAACACAGACATGACATTAATCATAGTTATACCGTCGCAAACATTCAATATTTGACCGCAATAATTACTGATAAGTCGATAACCGGTGAATGTTTTTTGTTGGTTATTTTCCCAGCGTGCATTCACATGCCCATGTCACAGTTCAAGAATCACATCGTCAGACGATAAACTGTATTAATATTAGACTGCAGATTTCACACATTTACAACATCTACGATTATCTCAGACACAGTACAGTAAAAAGCTCCATAAAGTTCAATGAGGTTCCACAATTTTATTCGAATCCTGATAGACCCCCCTCAATAGGGTAAACAAACTTCTCGTTCACTCCGATTTCAGAAAATCATTCCACGAAACTCTGTTTGTACAAAAATCCGCAGTCTAATTATAAAGAAATCCATAAACAGAGGAAACAATTCTCGTAGTATAAAATACGACCGGTTACACTGTCAAGATAGAGTTCAAGAAACTTCGTAAAAACTCACCTTCAACAGCTTGATGTTGCCGTCCCTCGCAGCGTTGTACACCTGGTCCTTAACCATTTTCACATGCTACCATCACGTAGAACACAACGATACTATCCGAGCCTGGTGTGTTGCAGGTTCTCCAGATTCACGACTGGCGTACCCCTTTGTTCGGAAAATCGAGACGAACGGCAGTCGGGGTCTTCCCTCGTTCTTTCACGCGCGACTTCTTTATCACTGTTGCGAGCGGCGGCAACGACGAAGAGTCGTCACTCGCGCGGGGCGGATGTTAGGGGGTCGGCCGAAAAAAGGTCCGAAAGAGGAACCGTTACCGTTAATGTTTTCTCACTTCCCTCCGCGGAACGGTTTTACAGTTAGATACGGACACGCGGGCGCGTACTCAACCACAAGTGCACCGACAGACCGATTATTTTCCTTCTTCTCTTCACGAGCGTTCCGTTTCGATGCGTTTTGCGAACGCACGTCCCGTCGGGTCATCAGATGGCGATACCTGTACTTTCGGCTCGACGGCCCATCAACAACTGAGCTCGCGCTTCAAAACTACGCTCGGAGCAATCGTGTTAGTGTCCAGCTGTTCACACGTTTCCTCTCTCTCCCTCTCGCCTACTGGCGTCCTCTTAATTCCGTCTTATCTCGATCGCGCCAACAATTGATTGCCCCGTTCGAACGCTCACACTCTCGGTTTCTTGGTGTATGTTGACGTCTGTTATAGCCGATGATAGGTTCTCAAGAATGACAGGATTCTATTGTCCTCGTCGCACTTACGCGCCTGCACACATAGACAGACTACCGAGGGTCGGGTTGCTCATCCGTGTATCTTCGCGGCGAGTTCTCTGATTCCCCGTCAGAGGGCAACACAATACGAACTCGAGGAATATTTGTGTACGTTGAATATCACTTGTGGCGGAAAAAGCAAACTGTTTTAACTCATCGAACGGCGGACGGAATTTCGAGAAACTTTATGAAGCATTGGAGGTATTTAACGATTTTTATGTTTCTAATTGCATGAGAATTTAAGATACACGATTGGATTGTTTATAAGTGAATTTCTATTCGTGTGCTTATTTGTGTGTTGCATACATGTACTGGGTTATGAGTTTAATACTTTGCTCTGAATATTCGAAGTTTTACTGTCTAAAAAAATTGAGATTTATGGGATAACGGACTAGGTATATTTACTTTTCATTTTTATAAATTAGGCTCTTAAAGTGTGAACTTGTAACGTATTGGCCTTCTGTTTCACGTAAAGATAATTAACTTTTATTATAATCGGTCACATATAACCTGATTACGCGATGGGGTTATATAAGGTTCTTTAAATTTGAAGATTTGTATGTAAAATTTCTAGTTGAAAATTATCCTATTTTCGATTAAAATATAAATTACGTAAAATAAAGTATCGCACAAGTAAATTCAACCGATTAATCACATGCACATACATACATACCTTGAGTTACAATATGACACCTTTAAACACTTCAAAAGATCGTAAAACAGTAGCAAATTCTGTTCACATTAATAAAATTATACTTTGTATCAAGAAAAACGTTTTACACGAAAATAATGAAAATTATCTAAAAAGAAATCACACGTCAGAAAAAAAATATCGCATTCAGTTGTTACATTATAATTTTTGTTTCTGCAAATCTATCACCTTATCCTTGGTATTTAATATAGCCTAACTTCTTTTAAATTTTAAATTATTGAGATTAAGAACATACGTTATTATATTTATATATGTAGTATATACCGTTATATACAGTCTTGTATACTTACAGTGGGGTATTATATTTTACTTTAGCTGTTTTTATTCTTAAATGAAACTGTTATTATATTTTGACAAATATGTCCAATAAACGTTTGATAATTGAATATCTCGGGGTTGTAGGGTGTGAGAAAGGGGCATTTCCAGTGATCAATTAACGAACCAGCAATTATCCTGCGTCTACTATACTGACCATATACGTCATGTTATCATTCGTCTTTGCACCAGGTTCGATCAGTTCTCGATAGAGTGCAGAACGATACACACTTCGAACTTGCAATCAAAGACACTTATTAATCTAATATTACTCGAAAAAGAAATTAACAAGGAAATAAAAGAAGTTTTTCAAAATTATAAGGAACTTAATATAGTCATCGGAAATATACTTGAGTTGCAGTCCGCCATGTTCTAGTTTCAGTAGACCTTCAACGTCTCCAATTATTTAGTTATTGCACTACTGGTGAAATCCTGTAGTCTGAAAGTAAATTAAAGTGTACTTGTAGTGAAATTTTTCCTAAAATTTATTTCTTTAGCAGCATTAGATCCCAAAAACCGTAGGAACGCCGATTCTATATTACCCCGAACGATTTAGCTTCACGAAATACTACAAGACGGAAAGGTTTCGTGACTGGTTCGAATCCAGTTAATATCGCGAGTAGCACTAGAGGGATTAACTTACATCTGTCCACGAATCGTACGATTGCCCACCCCATCCTCCATAACTCAGGGGATCGCGAAAAGTCGCGGCGCGGCACCAAACGTTTCTCAATTATCGAAATGGAGAGAAGCTAAACGAGAAGGCGGCACTGTGTTCTCGGTCTTGTTGCTTTCTTTTCGTTTCCCTGGGACTGCGCGCGTTCCCGGTTCATACAACGGGCGGATGGCTCGGTGTAAAAATGAGTAGAGAAAAGGTCGCGTGGGTGGTGGATGGGTCAGAGGCAGAATGAGATGGCTGATAGATGGAAAAAGTATTGCGAGCGTGTGAGGAGCCCGTATACGTGAAAGAAAGAAACAGCCGGAAAAAAAGGTGCACACAATGCTAGCTCGGGCGGCTGTCACGGCGTGGCACTGGCGGCGGAGGAATGAAAAACAGAGTCGTGGAACGAGCGGCTCTTTCTAAGACGGAACAGCGTTTTCGGTTACGAGGCGAGTTTGAAGAATAAGGAAGGCGGACTCGCAGCCTCGGTTGCGTCCAAGGGGGACTGCTTGAAAATTATAAAAGTCTCTTGGGTCGTAGATCTTGCAGGACTTTACGCCGAAAGTTCGGGCCATAAGCAAAGAACAATCCTAGAAAACATTTATGGCCGGCGGAAGTTGAAAATTTTCACTTCAACCTCGTCGTTGAAGTTAACGATAAAATTGCGTCCACTCGATGCAAGCGCGGTCGATGCTTTGATGTAAAATATTGTTTCAGCGATCGTTAGTTCCGATACCTCCTTATTAGAACCAAAGTGAAATGACGTCGTTACTCGGTTTCTCTATACTCCCTCATTGCAATGACGGTTAAATATAATATAATGGGAAGCCCGCGGAAAAGACGTTTGCCTTTAAACTTCATTATCTCGTAACTTGGCAGAAAACTACTTTGTGATTTCCTTTGAAGACAGACCCCCCCCCCCCCCATTGCATTCTTCGCGACGACGTCTTGCCGGGAATAAAAGGGGCACGAACGGTTATTTGAAAAGCATAAATTTCTTGCTACGACGAATGGAAGGCGACTTGACTTGTGTATCCTAATTATACCCGTACACTTCGGATACAAAGTTGTAACGTTGTCGGCTGCAGTACGGACGCCTCTCGTATAATTGATGCCTGCACGAAATGTTAAAATATGGAGCGGCAGTAAATCTGTCATAGGTAGAAATAACGACACGATTTTAAACGTGTGCCATAAATGCGGTACTCCTCGCCTCGAACTGCTTTCGGCTTTTATGGCTCGGATTCGATGGAAAAGGAAGTTTTCCTTTTATCCTTATTAAAAAGGGGTCACGCGACGGCGTACACATGTGTGGAAAAATACAGTACCATTAAAATCCTACTGAAAACATCGATCTTTATGTATAAACACTTAACATAAACCACACGAATAATTTTTAACTTTGACGCACCGACAAATAACTAGACCACGGATTTTTATGCAAAATATCATTTTATGAAGTGATTTACAAAGAGAGGAGTGAAAATAAAAAGTTCTTTCTCTTCTCAGGGATTCTATTGGGATACAAATAAAATCAAAGAATCAAACTCTATCGAATTTTTATCCTTTGATATATTTCACATCGATCTGTATGCTATAAATGCATAAAATCCGCAATCTACAAATAACTTTATTACAAAATATTCATCCGTAAATCACACCATAAAGATACATTTGCTTCGTATGTAAAGAAATTTTTTAAACTACGATGTGTTTAAAAAATTTCTCTAATATAATTCTAAACACATTCGCATGCACATTATGGTACTCCCTAAAGAAGCAAGTGTTAAAAATATAGTGAAATTCTGGTTGTCCGTGTGACTAGATGAAAATAATCGTAGAAAACATTAGAGACATCAACAAGTATCAACGAAGGGATTCCTCGACCCACTAATTACCGTAAGGATTCCGAACGAGTATTGTCGTACTGCGAAAATACGGGATATCAGGGAACGTTTCAAGGGCTCGAGATAAGGCCGTCCTATCCCATTAACCAGTTCCTTCTTTTTTTTTTTTATCGTTGACGAGACGTAACTCAGGAACTAGTCGTTCCGTCGGAAGAATGATTATCCGGACGGTTCGCGTGTTTTACAGGTTTTCAGGTGGGTGGAGAGGTGGTTCGTGTTCCGCTGGGATGGTGCAAGTTAGATATATAGTCGTTTTACGACCGCAGCGAGTAGATGATTCCACCGAGGTATACCTTAAGAATGGTATAGTACCCTTAAGGAAGCAACTTAACTCGCGTCACGCTGACGAGCCTTCCAGCAAATACAGAGTTTTATATTTAAAGTATCCTAAAGGCACGCCTCATTGTTCTACCCTTCTCCCATCAAGGGTTAATATCTTGTTCCTACGTCGACGTTCTACCTCGATGCATCGTTACAAGCACGCTTCCACACATGTCCCATCAGAGTCAAAAAAGCAATATCGATCTCCAATCCCTCTCCCCCTACGAATTTCTATTCGTTGAATACCATCGTATTTGCTCCGATTACCCCGTAGAAAATGATTAACCGGGGCGGATGACTACGGATCCGTCATTGGTTCTGTTTATTAGTCACGCGATAAGAAACCCGAGTAATTTCGCGTGCGTACGCAAACGTCGGTTTTAAACACTCCCCGGGTATTTTCCTTGTCGCGTGATTTACGAGGAAATTATGTAGATGTCCGACGCGAACGCATAGTTCGAACCGCTGGAGGAAAGGCAGCCTTTGGCGTAGCTGTTTTAAATAAACGATTAATCACGGGGGACCGGGGCAATTATAAGGAGTGGGTAGCAGTGAACGGTGGGGGATGGTGAGACCATAGTCGAGAAGGAACCGTTCTCGTAATTTTCGTTCGCCTTGAAATGAAATCGTAAAAGGGTGGGGGGGGGTTAGCTGGAGTGACTTCTTATGGTTTCCCGTATAACGGACGACTTCCGGTTTCGTCTACGCGACAGGCCGCAGGAAATTGTACGAATATATCAGCTAAAGGTTTCCAATTGCATTTATGGCTCACTCGCTGTTTCGTTTCAGCCATCCAAGCTTCTTCTCTTGTGTGTACACACAACGACAAATAACGTTTCGTTTCTGCTACGAGGAGTCGTTTCTTTGAGACCTCATTGGACGAAGCGTGCGCGCGCGCGCGCGAGAGTACATACGTGTGGGTGACCACCGGGGCTACGTAAATATGGTTATACGACGTTGCAACGTTGGTAATGAACGCGCTCGTGTTCGTGCAAAAGTGTACAGTGGGGCTGCTGCGGCTTGCGGTAAGGGTTTGGGAAGAGGGATCGAGAACCGAAGCACAATACCGACCAAGAGGGAATTAGTGAGAGGGAGGGAGACAGAACGACCGAATACGTACATTTGCGTTTACACGGCGCCCAACCCGCGTAACACACTCCTGCATATTTCTGCGACGGCGACGACACCGACGGTCGAATAGGAATAAGTAAATGAGCGTACATCGTGTTGACTTCGTGCGTGGATTGTTCAGCAAGTTCCACGGGTGAAACGGGCAGATGGCAGTGTACTGAACAGCGCGCGAATTCGTACTAGAACTACCAAATAAGTCAAAATGACTTGTCGATACACTCTCGCGACGTCGATTAAAATGTTATGACGATAAATTTTCTGAGATCTTGTGCACCTTTTATTACGATAGGAAAGTGAAGAAATTAAGCAATTTCAAAATTTTCAAAAGTTTTTCACGATTATCGTCGGTTGTTCTAGTGTTGATACAGTTGGTTCTTTTGTAGGACTTTTAAGGCAGAGTATAATTTATGTGTAATGAGTAGACTGCGGATTTTTATGCGAAATCAAATTTTCTAAAGTAATTTCTAAAGACAGGAGCAAGTGTAGGAATTTAGTTTTCCTCTTAAGTGTCTTATTGGGTTCAACATTTTTTTTTTTTTTTGTATTTAATTTAAGGATTCATTTGGTTCGAGTGATGCGTGAACATGATACGTTGTTCCTTCGCAAGTTATCGTGACAATATCATTCTAAATGAATTCCAGTTAATAATACGTTTATCTTCAGATATCGCATTCTTGTGACAAACGTGACAGAACTGGAAAAACGTGTTTCTCGAGCTATCACTGTGAGAAGGTTGCAGAAACACTGTTCGACCAGTTATCAAAAGTGTAATCTTTTAGCTTCGTAAATTAACTGGCAGAGTGGAGTTATGTTACTTTTACTGGTCAAAGTGAAACTGTGATTTGTGGCACTCCTTTTCCATGTTTTCGAGCTGTGTCACGTTTGTAGCAACGGTGCGATGTGATTACGAGTCGTTTCACCAGAAGTCAATGAGAATATGGTAACCGCGGTTTAAACGTTAAAGGAAGCGAAATAGAATTGCAAAACCGAGTCAGGTGGAACGTTAGGATGCTTTATTACGTGCTGCCCCCGTGGATTCCGAGTGATCAAACGGCCCGGTCCAAATAATAATCGTTTATCGATTTTAATTGAATAAGTTTCAGCCCCGCCGGAGCCACGGGCGAACGAAGTCGGATAAAAGAAAATCGAAGTGACGCGAAACTTTTCTTTCCCTTAATCCATCCTTTCAGACCGCTTTGTCAGACTTCCGTTCGGAACTGCTGGCCGGCCGCGTTCCGATGTGGACTAGAATGAAATCCTTCGGTACAACGGGCGAAGGTGCGTCCCCCCTCTACTTTACAAACTAGTTTTATGATATCCCACCGACACCTACCATGCTAATCCGCCCACAAACTTTTCTTCGGTTGTTTACTCACTCCCTCCGGTACCGCCGACCCCTTTCCCGGCACTCGTTCGCGCCGGTTTATAACTTCTATCCGATGGATATAACATAATTTTCCTGCTCGAAGTGGCCCAGAGAATCGATACAACAATAAACGCAGCAGATTTCAAAAGGGCGAAGTAACAGCAATTCCCCGTTCGGCGTTTAATCACGCGATATTTCATTTATCCGGTGGGTATTACCGACGCTAAATGTTTTACGCTTATTGCGTTCTTGAAAATTGACGTGTCAATAAACAGAATAACGCTACAGAGGCTCGCTAAATGTATTTCCATATTGTCATTGATGCGTTATCATTACGCCCGCTCCCCCCACCTGGCCGGAGTAATAAAAATGTGTTACCTTGCTTTGAACATCGCCCCTCCCAACTCTCTACCCCTTCGTGTTTCGTTAATTCGGATAATTCGAGTGATTGTACGGTTTGCCTTGCAATCCGTTTTGTATTTTCCCTGGCGTGCACGGAGAAATACGCGTGTATATTGGAATTTCAGAAAGCCACGTCGCGGATAGACAGTCTGATTTAGAGCATCTCTTCCCCCTCCCCTCTAACCCCAGTCGGTGGGCGTTTAACCGAATCGAGGATTCATCTTCTAGCGCCCTCAAAGCGCGGCAGACACGATGTATGAGCAGTGTGTAATATGATGAACACAAGCACGCACGCGAGCGCGCGCTCAACACCCCTGGAATATCACTAACACCATCGCTAGGGGTGCACCCACGCAAGGGAGGGGGCTCTCTCTCTTCTTACATTGCCGGTTGACTCGTGTTGTCCGGCTCTAGCACTTTGACTCGTTCCCTCTTTCTCCCCCACGCACCGACACACCACGCGCTCCCATGCACGCGACACACAAGCAACGCTCGGGGCACTTGGTTCCGGTATACTCCTCCTCTTGTGCCTCGTTGCTACACGAGTGCAAAAAGGAGATGGCACAGAGGGTTGTCTTCGTTGCTCGTTCGTCCTAAGAAAGACGCAGACGAGAGTATCGTAGGATAGGCGGTTCAGAGAGAGAGAGAGAGGGAGAAAGATAGAGCCCGTGGGAGAGGGTTGAAGAAGACGGATAGAGACGGAGAACGAGAGGACATATGCACGACAGAGAATGAGCGAGAGCGAAACAACGATAGGCGATGATGCTGTGCACCTGTAAGACGAAGTCGGAGCGCCAAGGTGTGGAAGGGAGAAGAGAGACGAACGATGAGACGAGGCGGAAGATCAAGAAATGCTATGGCGGGAGAAAGATCGCGTGATATGTCGCATCTACCCGCACGAGCGTGAAGAAGACAGCAAGTGGGAGGATGTTAGGAGGCGACTGTGAGGAACAACCGAACGCAGGGGTGTCGATAAAGATTTCTTTCTTTCTTTTCTTTTTAAACACAGAACTTGTATCCCCTATTGTCGCTATAACTCGAGTGTTAATTAGAGTTAGTGCCGTAAAGATCATCGACGTATTCTTTGGAACGCAAGTACGTTTGCGCCATTGACAGGCGAGATGAAATCAAATTAACCTTCCCCCCTGACGGTATTTCATTTGGAATATATAAATTCTCGGCGTTGTTTTCATTCCTTAGCGTAAGTAGAAAGAAACTCGTGACCAGACTTCATTAAAAAGTTGGGCAAAAGCGCGGGTGGAAGGGGGGGGGGGTGGACATTGACAGCACGGCGTTGCTAAGTTAAATAGCCATTAAAATTTCCGATAGGAAACCGCGTCGAGTCGTTTCTCGTGGGAGGGCACCTAGGTTAAGACGAATTCTCCGATCGATACGTATCTTTCATCGGTGTGGCGGTGAGCTGAGGGGGGAAGAGGGGTAGGACTTGTAACTTCATAAACATTACGGAATTAACCATTATTGGTTTCCCCGTGATATAAGGAAACACAACGAAATCGCCCCTGTCGGTCGACGCCCTTGACTCGACGAATTGAGAAACGAGTCGAAGGAGGACAGAGGGCGATACGATAGAACGAGACCGACGACTCCGGGGTCCCTGTGTACATTCGTGTCCTCTTATTGGTGTGTCGGTGTCGTCGCCGCGGTGGATGGTGTTGGTGGCCGCTCATTGGTGTTCGCCGCAGCGGCAAGCGGCGTTCACACGTTTCCCGTCATCCACTTCACCGCGCGATCCGACTGCGTTACCTCGTACCGTTCGAATGTATATTACGTATATGTGTGACCGTGCACGCGTTTCTCTCCTTCGTCCATCAGAACCTCTATTGTAAAACGAAAGGGGAATGAAAATAGTGTTTTGTGAATAGTGCGAGATCGGGTTTTTGTGTTCGGTTCATTTTATCGCGCAGTGCCCAAATAAACGTGGATTAAAGACGCATCCCCGTGAGACGCGAGAACAGCAACGGACCAGGTATTATTTCTACTGACAGCTTAACCTATCTACGGTAATGTAACAGTTTCGCGCGCCGCCAACGCGAGTTTATTATGCGTCGATTGTCGTCGTTGTGCTCCACGTTTCAGTTGTGCGTGTAACCGGCTGAAAGTTCATTCCGTTTGTATACTAATTGCTCGAAGACGCGGAGACGTGGTGCACACACTGGCCAGGTATTCTTCCCGACGATCCACGAGCGAAATTCTTGGCTAATAGTCGGAGTGATGTACAGGGTGGGCGGAAATGTTTGGTGCGAACCGGAGATTAGGTTTTTTTTGTAAATCCTCGTGAAACAGTTTTTTTTCTGAGATCGATTGAAATTTATATTCTCGAGAAATAGGTTTCCGGAAATTGAATCGAGTGGTTCGGTTATTTTTAAGAATCGATTGTCAGTCAGTGATCGATTGTAACGAATTCTGTGCGTTATGTTTTAATTAGGTACACGTGAACTCGTTTAAATTTGAGGAATTTCCTTGTTTTTTTTTTTCTAAGATATTTTCGGAGCAGTGTGCATGCGATGAACGCATTGTCGGTTGAGTCAATTAACGAGGAGATATATTGTCAGACCGATGGTGCAGATTGGAAAAATACTTTTTCCACTGAAACGCAATTGAGACTAATTGTGGTGTTGACTTATTCTTCCACACGTCTTTTCTTTTAGAATAATAAATATTTATAACAAATTCCTAATACAAGAAAGCGGTCAAATTAAGGCGCGTACTTCGTAAAAGTGAGGTTAGGTATTCGAATCATCATTGAGGCTGACCACAACAGTTCCAATATCGCTTTATTAGTATTAAAAGAAAAAAAAAACGCGTTACACATAATTTTCCTAGATTTTTAACAGAACTTACTTTCATGTCACTGGTACATTTAATTATCATCAGAGTGCAGATAAGACACATTTATAACATACATTGTCTGTCTACCTGGTAGAAATGCCTAGTTTGGTGAAAACTTTATTTTGCTTGTACCTGTATAGAAGTCTCGACAGGGTGAACATTTTTCAACTCGATTTCATTTCCTGTAAAATATCAAAATCCACGTAGACAGTGTCGTTATTAGTTTCACGAAAAAAAAGAAAAGTTTCATCCAAACTCGGTGTACCATTTTTAGCAACGCCTTGCAACGTTTTGTGCGTCGTTGACGGAACGTACCTTCGTCTCGTGGAAACCGTGTCGTGTCATTAATTATCTCCAGCGTCTATGCACACTGTCACATGGTGGAAGCGGTCGTTCTCGTCAGCGTACCAACAACGCTGTATCGTGTATCAGTAACCTTGATAATTGCTTTCAGTTTGTTTCGTTCGTTGCCAGCTCGAGTGGCGATAATTATAGAAACGCTAGCAGATTTCGACTAGCCATTCACGGTAGACCAGAAGTTACGTTCTGGGGATCCACATATGTACAGTAATTCCAGGTGTGTCGAATGGTTCGATCGGCTTTTAATCGGTCTGATATCTCAAGTCGATAAGACGACCTCCGGCCGGAAAGATGCTCTATATATACCCTAGAATTTGCATTATATGATTAGTATAATATTCTATGCATAGTCCTTAATGACTATTATACTCGAGATAATGGAGATGGTTCGACGTAGAAAAACAAGTCAAAAGTACTCTCTGTCCTCCTAGACAATATACTTTTTTTCTGTGGTTCTTAGCTTTCTAAATAATTGAATGAATAAGAATTAGTCTTTGCACGTGTGCACTTGAGTACCATTTAGCTCACGTGTCTGTGGATTACTGACTATTTCTACTTGTGTCAATGTTTATGAACGCTAACAGTGGTCTTGTACTATCTATTTTTCTATGTAATTTGACGTATATTGGTAGATAGAAAATAATAAGATCGATGGAAGAAAGTTAATGGGTACTGCCGTACCATACGTTTATAGCAAGTAGAAACGGTGAGTAATAGACAGACATAGTAGCCAGACGTATTCAGCTGCCGTGCGTGTTCGATGAATTTTCCAATTTGATTTCATTTCGAAAGTGAATCTTTATATGCAAATCTTTTACTAGATACTTTCGGTTTATTTTATTACATAAAAAAAGTTCTTTTCTTTTATTATCCGTATATTATATGTTCTCTTAATGGATAGAAGTGTAGGTTCTGAAAATGTAGTACACTTAGCAATGTAACACTTTCATTTACCAAAAAGTTGTTTTACAACGTAAGCCTAGGCTAAAGGTTTTATTGTAATTATTACGTTGGTAGTTTCTGTCACTTTCTGTCCTCTTTATTCAATTACCTGTGTTTTCGTTATTATGTTTTATACATATTTGGGCACAATTTTCTCTATCTCTAGTTTCACGTGCATATTTCGATTTATTTTTCATAGATTATAAATGCTTGTTGCATAAAAGTGTTTTATACTTTATTCGAGAATTAATGGACAAACGGGGGGAACTTTGCGGAAGTAGCAGCAACTAGTGTCATCGGGCGAATTCGAAAGTCGTCTTCGATGAGCTTCGCTCTTTCTCGGTTTATTAAGCGATGCCCCAGTGGCAGCACCTTCGAAGCGACACAGCTGCAAGAGGTAAATTACCGGGGTGGGAGAGAGAGAGAGATAGAAACACGACGTTAGCGGGAATGGGGGGTTCGGAGTCGAGGGTAATCGCGAATCAGCGTACACGCCTCATTAAATCATCGGAGACAATCGACACGTTTTACTCGACACTTTCTTCGTCGCGGTCGACTTCTTGGAACATGTATGTACGATAAAATATTTCTTCTTTCTCTCTCTCTCTCTCTCTCTCTCTCTCTCTCTCTCTCTCTCTCTCTCCGTTTCTATTGCTATGTTCCATTTCCACGATGTGACCAATCCACTTTAAAACAGATGCACATGTGCGCGGCTGAAGAAAATGTTGCCACTATGTAAAGATTCTATAAACGTTCAAGGTGATGTACAGAATGTTATGTAAAACTGTTCCAAGGATTAGGGACGTGTAGTAGAAAATGATCGACATTTGGATGTTAGTGTCTAGGTAGTCGATTTGGATTCGAGTTTTCAGAAGTTCTACTTAATCTAGGAGAAGACTGATTATTTGCATGAAAGTTTTGAAGTGAAAAATTCTTACCCTATCGTCACGTATTTATAGTCAATGTGAATACAGTAAATCATCGATGAGTGTTCGAAGGCTCCTCGGCACTGACAAGTCCCCAGGTGTAACGCTGACTTTTTAACGAGATTTTTATGGCTAGTTTATGAAATATTTAATATTCAGTCCTGAGGAGCCTTCGAACACTCCTCGATGAAAACGAAATTCAGTTCGAAACAAAATTCAGTAAAAGGTTTCATAAAAATTACTGTAAATGGACCTGACGAAACTTTTAATCCGGGAACGAAATCCCTGCTATAGTTTCCGTTCGCCATACATCGATCTATAAAAATCAGAATTTGCGTAAATATCACGAAATCTAGCGATCATAGGGACGAGTGGACCACTACTCTGCGATTGCTTCATTGATCGACGGTAGCTTCTGGCTCGCCCACGACAGGAAAGGGGACCAGTAATGGGTGAGCGAGAAGGACCAAAAGTCATCGAATACCATCACACAAGGCTATTACCAGCCACGTCCATGTGACACAATAGGGTCGAAGTATGTGCTTATAGAGACCGAAAGAAAAAAAAAACTCTTCTGTAGGGAGGAAAATTCCATATCTACCAAGACAATGAATACAATTTTATTCACCATTAAAAAAACAACACGTTCTTAGTGTTCGACTATTCAAATGACAGTGTGACAAACACGTAGGTCATGCTCGGTCGTTTGACCTTCGAATAAATTAATGGCGGTTCTCGATACCGAGGAGAGGCGTTTCATAACTATTCGGTGATACAGAGACCGGGATATATAGTAACTCCGACCGGGCGCGTTTCGGTTATTATCCTCCGGCGATCGGAGTTTTCCCTTGAATGTTAATTAACTGAATAAACTGCCGGTGTTTATCCTGTGGCGCACGCTCCACGCACCTGGGCTGTTATGAAGTCGTATACACACACGGGGAACACTGTCATTCCCCCCTTCCCACCGTCGATAAACCGTAATTCCATTAGTCCCTGTGCTACGCCGTTTTAAAGTCCTTTAAACGGGAGGAAAAGTTGCAGGGCTGGACTCTCGACCGTGTCGCGATAACGATCCCGGGTTCGTCCGAAAGAAATCACGGAGATCGCGTGGTCGGGGGATCTTAACAGCGATTACGCGAGATTCGTGATAACTTCCTTCGTGACTTGCTCCATGCCAGGTCCGTCTGTCCGCCGGAGCCATCCTTCTTGATTCCTACCCCCTCCACATTCCCCCCTCCAAACAGGATGTATAGGTGTCTTTGAACAGCTGCCACGTGTGTTCCTGTTTATTTTCCTTTTCACGAATTTCATCTGAGCACACACACACACACATAGACAGACATACACACTCCCCCAACCGGTCGTGTACTACTGTCTCGGTTATACCGGGTGGATCGAAAGCCACTTTCTGTGGAAGAGATACGTACAGTCTCGTTGATACAGAGTTGTCTTGATTATTGTCCCAAACTCGGGTCCGGACGATAATTATATAGGGAGAAATGCTTCAGATTCTTATAAACTCGTTTTTTTTTTCGAAGCTCGAGCCTCGGGAATAGAAATGGAGAGGCAACAAAGTCATGGGGATAACGCATGGACAGTAATCGTGGAGAGCAAGCCAGATGATAATTGAGGGGGGGTCTAGTTTGATTGGGAGCTAAAGTATTATATTCGTGTTGTTGGGGTGGAGAATTGATAGATACAGCGGGTGATGAAATTTTATGAACATCTCGAAGTATGTGCCACTCATTTGAAGTTAGATCACTGTTTTATGGAAAAATAAATTAACTACTAAACTTGCTTCGAGGAATTGCGGTTTCTGGTTCGATTTACATTTTTCTCAAAACAATCAAGTGTTCAATAACTTATGGATAGGAGCGTGTTTTAGTCTTCCATAGAGATCGTGTCATGGATAATGACATGAAAAGTAATATTTTAAGTGAATTCTATAGGGTTTTAATCGATATAAAATTCATTTACGTATAATGTTTTAATGAACTTTGTTGATGGGACGATTTATGATTCGAGTCGCGAAAATTATTAACGCATACCGGTGCGTTCACTTAGTACATTTATCGTGTATTGTTGTAGACGTCGAATTTTCCGGGCGTTTTTGTATCCCTCGCGAAAATTGATTATCCGTAAAACCCTATGAATAAATTTTTCGCCAGCACCGCGACCTGTACGTGTTACGTAGCGAACGCGGAAATAGACGATAAAGGCGACCCGCGTTAAAACCGCCGAAAGTTTTCATCGGTCTCGTTTATTGCAAATTGATGGAAATGACTGTTCGAATTTGTTCGGCAGTTTTTCCGGGCATGCCTCGTACCGTTATACATCGCCCGTGAAATATATTATCCAACGGGGAACGAACTGATAACAGAGTTACATGACTCCGTTTTCATGTTACCCGGAACATCATCCAGCGTTACAAAGAGACCATGATGACACGTGTACGTGTGTGGAATTGTGATGGCAACGGCACACCGATGATTATAACAATAACGAAATTCTCCATTTACCGTAAAAAGTTTCCCCATCGAAAACAGCTTTGAATTGGTGAATCTTTGAATCTATGAATCTCTGAATCTTTAAATCTTTAAATCTTTAAATCTTTCAATCTTTGAATATTCGAATCTTTGAATCTTTGAATCTTGGAATCTTTGAATCTTAGAATCTTTGAATCTTGGAATCTTTGAATCTTTGAATCTTTGAATCTTTGAATATTCGAATGTTTGAATTTTCAGATGCTTGAATCTTCGATTGCATGAATGTATGAATATTTAAATCTTTGAATTAAATCCATAAAATATTAAACCGTTAATTAAAGCGTAATTTCATTTCTTTCTCGGTACTTTCAAACATTGTGGATACGTTTAACTGCTCCGAGCATTATTATTTACTCGTCGGTTTAGCACCGAATATCGAGTAAACGGTGTTCACGCATGAAAGGGAACTGTTTATTGAAAAGCAGCTTAAAAAATGCGAGACGGTTCCCGCACGTGACGTTTCACACATGCGACAGCTTTGCGTTCAGTTTGCACGAGGGTGCCAACACTGCGAACGCACTTTCTTCCCGTCCTCCTTCACCCTCGGCCCGGTTTTTATTTCCTTTCATTGTCGCGCGATAGAAACACGCCTCGAAGATTAGGATAAATGCCGGCCCCGACACCCCGCCCCGAGGCGGCATAAGTTTACGCGAATCGTAAATCGAACGATAAATCGATCGGCCGGATTTGCAAAGCCGCGCACCACTCACGCAAACGGTGGGGCAAATAAATTATTTAAAAATCAATATGCGACGCGTCGCCGGTGTTTCCGGCGATTTTATGGAAAACGAAAACAAAAGCTATTGTTTTTTGAGCTCTGAATACGCTCGCAGTTATTTTCGCGTTTCGACGTTTAATACAAACAATTTCGTCGCGTCGGATCTATTCTGGAAAGATAGAATTAAGTTTATCAAGTATTCGTGACTCCGTAGAGCTATTGATTCATTATTCAACCCTTTATTGGTAGTTTACTCTGGGGATTTTTAGGTGGTATTTTGTAAATTATAATACTTTGGAAAAAATGCAACAGTTTTTCGAAAAATCATTTTTTGTTAAAGTGCTTAACTGTTACACTTACACACTGCACAATGAATTTCACTAAACTACAGTTCTAAAAACAAAATATGTATAAATAAAATAAGATAATGTGTTGACAGTAGAGCTAGTTGGAGTAGTTCGTCCTTACTTGTTGTGCCAGCCACACTGGTAGTTGCAGCTCAAATGATAATTGGTAGCTGAAAGATTAAACGATGATGTATATGTCCCAGTTATTCAGTCTTTTCCTTGAATGGTTTGATTCTCTTTTGCTCTAAAGTAGTTCATTCATTTCAAAGAATCTCAAATTTTATAGAAGTGATAACATTTATAGTTTATTGTCTAGGGCATGTGTACATAAATGATCTCTAAATGAACACGAGAATAAATATCGTATTAAATAAAGGCTCTTGACTATGTATTCTATTTCTTTTCTATAATTTTTCAATTAAATCTTCATTGGCCATTTCTGTAACTTTTGTGTTAAACTCGTTCGTAAAATACATATATGTATTCCGACGAGTGTCCGATCAGAAAGTGGCAGCTTAGTATATTGTGTCCCTTGTTCCATTCTATCTAAAAATTCCAACAGTTTCATTAGCCGAGAAGGGTATTACGCAAGCTTACGTCGAAGACACACCGACGAGAACAAGATAATAATGTATCACGATTCCACTGAAAGTAACGAATCGTGTCGTGTTATAATTACAGCCGGCGAGAGAGAGAGAGAGAGAGAGGATCCCCGATGGTGGAACAGTGGGGGACGACCGTTGGCGTTTCTCCAAGATCCTGAGAATGTCCACGGAACGATCGGGAAACCAAGGAATGGATCATGAAGTGACCGCGCACAAAGGACACTCTGGACACGTGTGATTCCTTGCGAAGTATTTAGCCACAATTAAGATGTACCCCGCGCCGGCGAGACACCCAGCCGCTGCCGTAAGTACCTGTTAAACACGGGGAAAGGATACCCCTTTTTATTTATTTATTTCTTCTTTTTTTTTTTTTTTTTATTAAATTTAAACTTTCTTGAAACGCCCGAGGAAAACAGCCTCGGTCTTACAGTTCAGACATTCGCGCCGGTTCGCGAGAGAAATTACGACTGGTAAGTGCATTACACGACGGAACTCGGAGATATACCCCGCGAACTTGCCCGATTTTTATCGTGTCCGTGGTGGGTGGTTTGAACGCGAAACGGTTAATTTTGGTAATTCTGTTGCCACGGGTAATTTTTATAACTTACGGCCTCTTCCGTGGTCGCGTGAATTACAAGAAAACGGTGTTTACGCGGCGGCGACCGTGACTTCTGAATAAATATTTTTCGTGGAAGGACGAAACGTTTCCTACCGCAAAAGTTGGAGAAACATTTCTTGCGAGCGCGTGCGATGGTGGTAAATTGGTCGATTCTCGTGTGATAGTGGTTACGAGTTTTAGTCTCCGTTCAGATCAACTGAAGGGGTACAACCGCTTGAATGTAACTACCAGAGGATCCACACAGATTCTAATGAGGCTATTATAAGCTGAATTTAGGGGGAGAGATGGAGAGATCTGGAACGATTCTCTGCTGAGAAACACGAGTGAAACTAATCTGTAGTCAGGAGAGTCGAATCGGACCAAGCCAGGATACTGGAGTTGGATCCATCTGGAGTTCCGAAAGTCAAATTTACCTGATACGAAGTCGAAAGATTCGAATTGAACCAACACTCTGGGCTCCAGAAACCAATTCTTAGACCTAAGGATTCCTAGACCCAAGGATTCCTAAACCCAAGGATTCCTAGACCCAAGGATTCCTAGATCCAAAAACTCCTAGACCCAAGGATTCCTAGACCCAAGGATTCCTAAACCCAAGGATTCCTAGACCCAAGGATTCCTAGATCCAAAGATTCCTAGACCCAAGGACTCCTAGACCCAAAAACTCCTAGATGCAAAGATTCCTAGACCCAAAGACTCCTAGAACCAAGGGTTTCTAGACCCAAGGATTCCTAAACCCAAGGATTCCTAGACCCAAGGATTCCTAGATCCAAAGATTCCTAGACCCAAAGACTCCTAGAACCAAGGGTTTCTAGACCCAAGAATTTCTAGATCCAAGAATTCCCAGACCCAAGAATTCCTAGACACAAAACCTTCTAAACCTAAAGCTCGAGGACCTCCGGACTCAAGAGCTATCATCAAGGGACCTTAGAACTTAATGATCCAAGCCCAAATAAACTCGAGTCGAACTTGAGTCCGCGGGTCTACAGATCCTTGGGCTTAGATTTTACCGGCGATCTGGTGGCTGAAAGCGTGAAAAGGGAAGGAGAGGGAGGAATATTTCTTTCCCAAGAATTTTCGAGGGTCTTCGCGAATTCCTCGGCGTCTGCGGTTAAAACGCAAAGCCACGGAAGGTGGCCCTCCGCGAAACACGCGGAAGAAAGGATCAGCCCGGAGTAATATAATTGCGGTTGGCCATCGTAGAAAAAGCATTCTCCTTTATACGGTTTACACGGCCGTCTTTTAGGTTTTCATATTCCTCTACTGCAAATAATTCCACCGTTCAAAGAATGCTTTTCCTTCGCTCGTCGTCTGCCACCAACCCCCCCTCCTCGTCACTTTACCTCTCTGGTCCACGTCTTTTTTTACTTTTCCGAGCCGCCGTTATAATTTCACGCGTCACGTAAGCTCGAACTCCTTTTATGCGAGGCGAGACCACTGGGGAATTCGTCACGCGCTCGCTCCGGTAGACAAGGCATCTAGAAATTGTACAGATTATTTATAGTGCGAGAGAGAGAGAGAGGGTCAGGAGTTACGAGTCAACGTACAACAATTGTCGTTGGCAGAAGCGGCCACCGACGATATGTGGGCCCCGCTGCCTCGTCGGTTGTGTTTGCTTTTATTGCCGCTAATGTGGCGCCGTTCAACGGGCATTAAGTGGTTCAATAATTTTCACGCGAGCATTCTTAAAGCATAAAACGATTCTGGCAATGATACGCGGTTTGGTTTACTCGGAACCCTCGAATATGTACAGGGTGTTTGAAAATATCGTATAATGGTTTGGGATCTTACAGAAAATGCCATTTTTAGTAAAATATTTTTAGTCGATACAAATTTATGTATGATTTCTAAGGAAGTTACACTTCAATGTAGAGTTAATCGAAGGCTCCTGGGCACTGGAAGGAATGTATGGAAAGAAACTATGAACGAAATTTGTAACGTTATAGAAGTTAAAGAAGTTCGTCGACTTTCTTTCTCTTTTTTTTAAATTGCTTTAAGAAATTAGTAATGTTTTATGGATGATTCGAGCTGTTCCTACAAGATTTACCGTTAATCATTTTTTCTTATTAAAGTTTTGTAAGTTTTATTCTGGCTCCAACAAAAACTTAATGGTTCGCCAAAACTTTTCGTAGTAATTTCATAAATGATTTTCCTTAATTTCAGCCTCTGTCGAGTTTCAAGTTAATAGTATTATTATTAGGAACACCTTGTATACGCGTCGTCATCGGGAATTGTACACAACTGGATATTAACCGAGGAAATTAACTTCTGCCGGGATATGGTTTCGATTCAATCACCCGTATGTCTGGTAGCTTTGGTAAAATCATGTTTAATTATTACAATGAACCAGGATTTGACGATCTATAGACTGGAGTTCAGAGCAGTTAAATCTGTTTAGTTGTTACGTGTAATCCCATGTTTGAAACCACGAAAAGTGAATCATACATATGGAAATCAGTTTTCTTTTACTTTCCAAATAACGTTCAACTCTATTTATATATTATTATTAAAATACATATTAAATTAAGATTGTCCCATTTTAATTTTTCAACATTACCATCTGAAATTGTGAATTTACATAAACTTCTGCAATCTATTAAACATCAGTCTTACAGTCCTTAAATGGAATATTAAGAAAATTGCAAAAAGTTGATCTACCCAAGGTAAAAACAACATTTCAATTTACACGACAACAACGATCTACCGATATCAATTCCGGCCAAGTACGAATCGAAGCAATGAATTACTCACGGTATAATGCGCGCCAAGGTTTTTGTTCGCGGCGATTCGAGAAACGGGGGAAATTGATTTCGAGTTTGGCCCCCGTGAAATGATAGATTGCCCCCGGGTGATCATAATAGAAGCGAATACTCTCCTAAGCGCCTAAAAGCTGACCCATTCTCTACACTTGGCAACCAAACAAATGATGGGGAGATGCCTTGCGACTATTGTGCCTCGTAACTCTGTAACTCGAGCCCTCGCGACGAAGGGAAAGATAATAAAAGGGCGCAGGAGTCGCTCGAATGGAGCATCCGTTGTTCCCTCGTTACCTTTCGATCCGCGGATATCCCGAGGTCGAGCAGATTTCACAGGATTTAGTAATGGTAACGATAGCTTTAGGAGAATAAACGACCGATTGCTGTTCATATTAATGATATTAAAATTTAATACAATTCGACACGTTTCATGCGCGAAGCCTACTTTCAACTGACTTTCCGTTCACACTGATTGTATTATTTCGCATTTCGAAAAGGTTCACCTTTCGATTTTGATGAAACTTGGCAAAATATTCCTTAATAAATGTATGTCATTGTTTTATGCATTTATTTATATACAGGGTGAGTCAGTAAGAAGTGTTATCTGAAACAATTTGTTACTTATCGGTTATATGAAAACAACGTTTTAAATGATTGATGTTGCATTTGAAAGGATTCATCAAGTGGATGCAATTTTATTTTTTTATATCTTATATTTTTCGAGATATCACGGTAACCTTGAGTTTTCTCAAGGTCGATGAATTTTTTTGTTAGTGCTGCGTTGTAGACGATAAAAAGACGAACTCAACGACCTGTAATAAGGTGTAGGAGAAAAAATTCTTTGACTGTGAAAAATCTGAAGGTTACCTTGAGGTTTAAAAAAAAAATAAGATATGATGTAATCAAATTGCATCCACATTGATGTGTCCCTTCAAATGCAACACAATTCACTTAAAATGTTTTTTAACACAGCCAATAGGTAACGGAGTTATCTTAGACAATAGTTCTTATTGATTCACCCTGCATGTATATTTATTTCCAGAGGCGCCAAAAAACTTTTACATATCTTCATTTCCGAGTATTGGAAACAATTTTACCAAATTTCATCGAAATCGAAAGGTGAATTTTTTCCGGAACCGCAGCCAATATTTGAATTTGTACTATATGATGGTCACCGGTTGACCAACATTGCGTGAAGGGAAAGTTCTGCTAGCATGCACAGATCAACATTCTGATTCCACAAAGTTCTAGGCTTTATCATTAAGCTATAAAAGTCGAAGCAGTTTTACGTATTATGCAATGGTAATTCAATTGGTAATAATCTTAACATGTTCACACGGAAACGAATACTCTGACAGTAATGATGATACGACTTTATTACCCTTCGATATCGATTGGACAGTGTAATAGAACAGAGAAAAAACAGAATGAACAATGTATAAACGATAATTTAATCTCTCAGTAATTGACCACAGTTAAAATGTTTTCCGAAGCCTTACTTCCGTCGTAGTCAACACTGGCGATACTCATCGTTAACACGATTGCTTAATATGCAACGCATAAAGGAGCCAAAGAACTTAATCAGCTTACATTCACATGAATGTGCTGATTAGTGACTCACCGTTTATATGCAAAATTCACGGACGCAAGTCAGCATGATTCTTGTAACACGTTTACCGGGATTTGCGCACGTTATATTTCACCGGTGTTACTTAATACGGTGTTTGACCGGTAATTAAATTCCGTTGAATACATCGTATCATTTGTTCGAGGGATCCCATTGTCCTGGACGAATTGTTTGCCAAGATTAATGTTGGGAATTTATTTTCATCCACATACACATCCAACAAAATATAGCGATATGTATATATATATATTTTTCGAAATATTGCAATGCAGTTTATCTATTAGATAAATTTACATTACTTTTTC